AGAAAAATTTATTTGGTAAAATAACATATGTGGTGACTGTATCACAAATGATGTTTGCCAATCCAGTAATATTTTGGAACATCACAAAAACTACATTTTATTTATAGAACTTGAATGGAACTATACATTCAGTAATATTTGGACATATCTCATAAACTAATTTTATCTATGGAAATTGAGTGGAACGAATTCATGGAATATTATTTCGATACTGAGGGATCCATTAGTTCAGCAAGATAAAGATAAAAATAATGAACAGTTGCTATGTGGATTCAACCATGAAGGAAGGTACATGGCTTCAACAATGAAGGATGATACATGGATTACTGTTTGAGTCATAGTTAAGGGGCTATGCTAAGCCCATATCAGAAGTCATCATTGACTTGACATACCTGCCCTCTCTTTTGCTGATGAGGGTATAAGTAGAAAACAAAACAATCCAAAATATTGTAAAACTATTTTACATGAGGTCCATGCTGTCAGGTCTCTGATTGACAACGTTCCATGGTACATCAAGATTAAGGAGCAATCATGGCAGATTGATGCTTTGATAATTCTTCTCAACCATTGCTACCCCTTAAACTGAATAGAGAAAATGAAAATATGGGTGTTAACTATGTAGACCCAAATCTCCTAAAAATATACTAAAAGTGCTTTTGAGTATTAAAATCTAATAACTGACCATTCCATAAGCCATTTTCCCTCAACCATTATTGAGGGAAAGTATTTTTCTAAACTTTTTCAAGTCATTATATTTATGGGTTAAATGAAACTAGAATATTTTTCTTGGCTTTGCAATTTAATCATTTTCACACAGACTTCTCCACTGGAAGATAAAAGAAAAAAAAGTGAAACTGGAAAATTATTATCTCAGTCTGTTGACCTTTCTTAGGAAGGAAAATAAAATGAAGCCAGGGCACAATTAATAGCATAAAAGAAAATGCAGGGAGGAAAGGATTTTCATGTGTATAAAATATTTTCTCAAGATTGCAGATACCTAATTCCTATAAAAATATACAATCGTTTCGGTTGTAAAAAAAGTTTTCAATTGGTCTGAATGCGAAAATTTATTTTATAAATGAGGGACAGCTGAAAAGTCATTTTAAGTGAGTTATGAAAAAACAATGGAAACCAGTAACCTCACCTGTAGATACCAGCTCTGGTCCATGGCAACAGCACTGAAAACTTCCAGGCTCTACTTACGAGAACAGAGGCTATATTGCTTTGCTGTATATAAGCAAGGTGTCTTAAAAATATTTACTAACACTCACAAACAAACATTGTTTACTATTCTCCTTTGAGCATGAAGAGTGTTGCACAGAAAAAGAATATGAACCCCAAATTTTTGAAAAATACCTGAGAAAGCCAGGTTTATCTTGGAAGGAAGAAGTAATTCCTGTAGCCTTGGTGACTGAGCTCCTATGCTAGAACCTGTGGTGGAGAATTCAAAAGGAACATCACTTACTTCAAGATTGTCCCAGGTCATTTATATATTTTCTTCAGCACTCACTATCTTTTGAGGAGAATAACAAGCAATGTCTGTTAATTAGTATTTTTCTTCTTAATATATAGATCTATCTTTACAACTTCTAAGTACTGAATTAGCTGCATCCATAAAGTTGTATGTTGTCTTAATTTTCTTCATTTCAAAATACTTTATAATTTGTCTTAATTTCTTCTTTGACACATTGGAAAACTTGAGCTTGTTAAAATTCCAAATGTGTCTGAATTTCCAAATTTATTTATTTATTTATTTTTGATACCTGGAATCGAACTTGGGACCTTGCACTTGTGAGGCAGGAGCCAGAACCACTGAGGTAAATCCCTGGCCCTTTCCAAATTTATTTGGTTGTTGATTTGCAATATTATTATAGTTTGGTTGGAAATATCAGTTGGTATAGTTTCAGTCCTGTTAAGTCTGTTGAGGCTCATTTTACAACCCAGCATGTGCAGTATGACAAAAGTATGGTGAATGTTTGAGTTAAAAAAAGATTACAGTAAGACACATTGCTATTAATTTCCCTTGAAATCCTCCCTCTCACTTTGAGTGCATTTATCCCATCATTTTGGTTATTTTCTGAAGCACTTCTGGAAGCCCTCTTTCATGAATGTCTCCAGCACAATGTTCTGGCTGCCTCTATGTCCTGAAGCAACTCAAAATGTTTAACTTTCATGGTTATTTTGACTTTGGGGAAGAGCCAGAGGCCACATAGTGCTGGATCTGATGAATTTGATGGGTGAGAACACACAGCAATGTTTTTACTTACCTGCTTTTCTGTTAGATGGAACTATGCACCAGCATTCTTTGTATTCCTTATCATTTCTCTTAAAGACACAAAATAAGACTTCCAGAACTGCTTCAGAGAGTGGCAAGAATGATAAGCACGTTCACAGTGAGGTGTACATATATTGAGAGAGTTCAACAGCTATGTGTATTTTACTGTAATAATTTTTTAAAACTTAAATAGTCACTTTATATTTTGATCACCCCTTCTATGTGTGTCCTGTAGGATATAAATATGAACCAAAGGATTTGAGAGCTCACTAAACTATCAACAGTTTGAAAATACCGACTCTGTCCTTCCTAGGTCTTCATTTTTTGTTGTCAGGTAACAAATACATACTCTTTTGAGCCTGGCCTGGTGGCACTTGCTCAGTAAGAAGGCCCTGAGTTAAATCTCCAGTACCAAAGAAAATGAAAGGAAAAGAAGAGAAGGGGGGATGAGATGAGAGGGGGGAGGTGAGAGGAGGGGACATCCTTTCTTAAAGTAGAAATAGCTTAAATAGCTTCACAAGTATTCTTTCAATAACTCTGCACATGTTCTGAATTGGGAGGACAAAAGGTCATTACTATCAAGGGTAAGGACTGCAGCTTCTCACTTCTTTACGTTCTCACTTCTATTTGAGTTATCATAAATGTATATTTAAGAGTAAAGTATGTTTGTAACTGCTTAGACATAATTTTTCATATTTCAACAAATTAAACATTTCTTTCTCTGTATAATATTTAATTATGCTTGTAATACATATGTCCCAATTAGTGTTCCTCAGGGCACTTCATAAGAATGACCTCCAGATTCTCTTGGAGACAAAATCTAAGTTTTCTGATGGAGAGAGAAGGTCTCCAGAGCTCCCAGGGATGGCATCTGCAGAGTGCAGTTTAGAGATACCAGCAGGAAAATGAGTGAGCACTTCTGTACTGAGGTGAAGAAGGAGAAAAGGAAATTTTCCTGCCACACTTCTCTATTCTTTTCCCTTTCTCTTGACCAGATGAAGCTCATGGGCATGCCTTGCATGGCAGCTGAAGATGGAATGGTTTATCACTGAGTCCCAAGCTCGGGATCAAATGTGCATATTTTCTGAATCCTTTCTGAAATTATATCTTGGTAACCAAGGGCAGTGGTTGACAGAGGGTGACTTAGTAAGCAGGTACTCTTAGGTGAGAAAGCAGCAAATCAAACCCTAAGGGATAGTAATGGCACATTTTCATGCACATGTCTTACTGTCCTAGCTGTTATAGAGAATTTTCTGTATGAACAACCATATAGCAAACCATTACAATAGTGAGCCTCTTGAAACACTTAGGACCTGGAGTGGTCTGGAACTCTCAGTAAATGAGGATTTTCCCATACAATAACATGTTAGGAGAAACTGCAATTACATTTCTAAGGAATTTTTATAGCTTTTCAGGGATAATGAATACTACCTTTAAAAATCTACTGTGGTAGTTTGACATTGAGAAATAAAAATCATAAAGCTTGATGCTGAATGTTTCTTTGGGCACTGAAGCTTCCTTATTTAAGATGGTCTTTTGAATGCCAAGGTGTGTGTGTGTGGGGGGGGAGCAAGAATCACAAAGCACTAGAATTGGTCCAAGTCCATCAGTACAGTTAGTGATTTGCCCAAGTTCATGTATTTCCTCAGCATGCCCAATTTGAACTTTGGTTTTTAAATTCAAACCAGTGATATTTGATGGCTTTTTGTCAGATAACTCTTCAAGTAAATCATTTTTCCTAAGTATAGAATTTTGCCTCCTTTAAGAGAGAAACTTAGACATGCTGGCCAATGCCTATAATCCTAACTCTTGGAAAGCTGAGGCAGGAAGATCAACATGAGTTTGAGGTCAGCCTACCCTGGGGTACACAGTGAGTTGAAAGCCAGTCTGGATTACATAGGGAGACTCTGTCTAAAGAGAAAGAGAGAAAAGGGGATGGGGCGGTGGGCAGAGACAAAGAGACAGCAAGAGAATCTGAGAGACAGAGACAAAAATTTATCTTTACAATGATTTCTTAAACATTTTTAATAATCTTCCATTATACAGATGAGAGAAAAATGATTTTTAAAAAAAGGCTTAACAGATTGCCCTAAATCAAACATGTAACACATGGCAGGGTTGAGGCAACATCTTTGCACTTCATGGTTTTTTACTTTTCTAACTATTGGAAAAGTGTCTATTATTAGCTAATTATTAGCTGAAATGTTTAGTCCATAAACAACTAATCTAAACACTCTTGGTAAACGTGTCATATATGTATGACACCATTTGTTAAGATTGTACCTTTTTAGTTATTTGGGAATCCATCTTTTTTTAAAAAAAACATGTTTAAATGACTAGCAATTTAATTATGCTAATTTCTTTTGTTTGCATTATTTGCTTTTTTCTTCAAGGACAATTAATATTTAAATTTTATTATGCAAATTCCACTTACCCATGCTCAATTCCAGTTGCCAAGTGTGTCCTCCTGGTTGAACCTTGGCAAAGTCATTGAGTCAGCAGCATCTGGAGTTCCATTTTCTTTCCTTTCCACTAATACCACTGACAGTGTTTGAGAGTAGCTTGTTATCTCTTTGTCTAAGTAATTGACAATGCTAAAGTTCAGATGAGCTCTCACATTTGTTTCCTTCACAAACCATTAAACAGGGCAATTTTATTTCTACTTCCCTACTAATTTATTCTTTATGTTGTTGATTCCCTTAACAATAGGATTTTATAGACAAAGGTGAATAAAGGCTACTGTTTATTTCACAAAACTCAAATTCAGTTTGGAATCTAATTCATTAATGTAATGCCTATGCTCTCAGAGGAAAAAATGAACTTGCTCAACAATAATAACCCCTGTCTTTGTATTTGAATCATGCTCATAATAATTATAATCATTGCCAGTGGTGGAAGAATGCACTGATGTAAATACCTCAGGAGCAGATCTGTTCTTTTTTTTTGGTATTAAATTCTTTTATTGGTACATTGTAGGTATACAACACAATTACATTTCTCATTGGGAATGGTACCTTTACATAATGCATCTTGGTTCTTATATTTTCCCCATTCCTAGCCCTCCCTTCACCCCCTCCACCCTTCCCTATTTACAAAGATTTTATTTCCAT